TTAGGGTTTAGGGTTCGGAGTTCTGGTAGGTTTCCCGATAAAGGGTTGAGGTCTAGGGACATGGAGGACTGGATTGGAGATTGGAGATGTTAGGTTGAGGTTCCGATCTTCACAAAATGTAGGCTCACAAGCTGTAGGCTGTGGAGTTTAAACCCAAAACCCTAAACCCTAAACCCTAAAACGCCAAACCCTAAACCCTAAACGTCAAACCAGTCTGGCCCAGGGGTTTAGTTTGGCGGTTAGCAAACTAGGGTAACTTTAGGCGTACGGCTTTCCAGGGCTTAGATGAAGCAGGGTTGTTTTTTTTGTTTTTTGGTGAGTGTACATAGACCTCCTTGTGTTTTTGCTGTGTGCACATACACCTATAGACAGATATAGTATCTTCAAGTTACTGGCAATAAAGACCCTACATCATGCAAGCCCATATTGTTTGTAAGAGACTTTTAGAAACAACAACCTCCCCCTTTGTAGCTGTTGGTAAGAAGGTTCAAGGCTTGTAGCATCGAAGTTCTCCCTAGATTAGGGTTTAGGGTTTAGGGTCCCTAAACCCTAATTTACCTTCATAGGGTTTAGGGGATTCCAAGTCCTGGAGCCCGGGGCGGTTGGACGAGTCCTGCGCCCCGTAACGGTGTGGGGACTTACCGCGCCGAGGTTTGTGGAGAGACATGTCAAGATGCTTGGTATGCTCTATCAGTGCTCGACAAGTACCCCGGCACGTAGCAACATGTGAGCACATTCCAGTTTTCGATCTATCTTACAATGCGACGGCTCTGCCGGGTACATCTCGAACTGGTCATATTGAGCTTGTGTGACTGGTGCAAACAAGAACAGGGCAACTATCGTTTACTAGGATGACCAGTAGTACCCTTATTCCTTTTTGGGGGGTTTAGGTTCCCTTAAAACCCTAAACCCTAAACCCTAAACCCTAAACCCTAAACCCTAAACCCTAATAAACAAAAAAGGCACCCTTTTTAAGCCTTGGTTACTGGGCAACTATAGTTTATGACAGCCCAGATGATTGCGGCACTGCCAAAACTCGGGCATGGACACTTGGTCATGTTGAAGTTGCGCGCAGGTATTGGTTTAGGGCTTAGGGCTTAGGGCTTAGGGCTTAGGGTTTAGGGTTTAGGGTTTAGGGTTTAGGGTTTAGGGTTTAGGGTTTAGGGTTTAGGGTTTAGGGTTTAGGGTTTAGGGTTTAGGGTCTTGATTGCGCATCTGCAAGAGTGGTCACGCTGATCTCGTGTGCTTGCTCTGGGGCTCAGGGAAACTGATGCTGACAGTTGGCTCGACGCAGCCCTCGTTTGAACAATCTGAGTTTTCACACCTTTTGCTCGACGGCGGTGCTGAGATGTACAGGCTTGATAAGCCCGGCCGGATGCCGCGTTTGTTCATGCATCTCATAATGCCTCAAAATTGCGCGCATGGCGACGTAGCTCTGATCCGGGCTTGTCACCTGCAGAGTCTCCACTTCCTGTTGGAAGCTTCTCGCCAGGGAGCGGCCGACTGCAGTGACGCAGCGTTTGTCTGTGTTAGCGGAGGTGGTCCAGAGGAGATCGCGAGCTAGGGTTTAGGGTTTAGGGTTTAGGGTTTAGGGTTTAGGGTTTAGGGTTTAGGGTTTAGGGTATAAGGTTTAGGGTTTAGGGTCTGACTGCTCGAAGCCCGCCGCCGATACATGTCGTCGCACATGCCCGCCCCGAGCGATCCGGTTGAGTTGATTGCGCACATTCTGCACCATCGCCCTTCAATCCCCAGAAGCCCTAAACCCTAAACCCTAAAGGCCCTATACGCCGCAGACCCTAAACCCGAAACCTGAAACCCGAAACCCTAAACCCTAAACCCTAAATTAAAGCTCAACAGCCAGAACCCCAACTCACCAGGAACAGCCACGCTGTCCATCGACCTGTATAACGGCGCAAAGTCCTTCATTCCGCTGGAGGTCATGGGCCATGCGGAGTAAAGTGGGTTTAGGGTTGAGGGTTCGGGGTGAATTCCACAAGTTAGGGTTTAGGGCTCAGGGTTTAGCGTGCCCTGGGAGATACGAGCAACTCTGCAAGTAGGTCGTCCATCGGGCTTTTCCTTGGCAAAAGCCAACTTAACTGAAGCTGCTTACCACCCTACTCTTCACCCAACCAACTGAGGCTACTTGCAATCCTATTCCGGTAGGGGGGGAAGGGTAGGGGGGGGGGGTGGGTAGCTGGGGCAGGCTCCCACACCCTGGGCCGTCCCTAAAATATTCGAAGTTGCCCCCTGTTACTAGGGATGCAATGCTATTATACGTGAGTTCAATGTAGAACCCACCGAAACCCCAAACCTTAAACCCTCAACCCTCACCCTCAATCTTTAAACCCTACACCTTCACAGCCCTAAACCCGGCCCTAAGCCCTACTACCCTAAACCCCCAACCCTAAACCCTCAACCCTAAACCTTAACCCTGCAGATACTAGGGTCCGACATGGAGTCGCGTGTACCGTTAATTTGGGCCAGGAGCAAGTGCGAGGAGTCTATGCGCCCCTTGGCGTGTTCTTCCCTTCGGATGGAGGATTCGTTTGGGGGCTAGGGTGTAGGGCTGAGAGTTCAGGATCTGTACAACACTACCTTATGTACGACTTTGGGCTAAGAAGATAGATGTGAGGTCGCTCTCTAATCCCGGACTTGCTCGGTTCGAAGGGGGTGGCGGCGGTGAGGATGCAAGATCAAGACCCTCAATTCCTAAACCCAATCTGCTCAATCCTTACATCCTCCAGGCAAGCCTCTGGTATACTGCACATTTTTCTCTATTGGGTGCAAGGGGCTGAAATTCTAGGATGCCCAGTAGTACCCTGATTCCCTTTTTTGGGGGGTTTAGGTTCCCTTATAAACCCCTTTAAGCAAAAAAGGGCACCCTTTTTAAGCCTTGGTTACTGGGCAGCCTAGACCCTAGTCCCTTTCCCCCTCAATCCCGCCCCCACCCTAGCTTCGCATACCCAACTCCCAAATTTCTGACCTTAAACCCTAAACCCTAAACCCTAAACCCTAAACCCTAAACCCTAAACCCTAAACCCTAAACCCTAAACCCTAAACCCTAAACCCCAAAACCCTACACCCTAAAGCCCCAACCCACAATGCTGTCACCGATGGACGTCGGACTTAAAGGAAGAGGCACGCCGATGACCACGAGAACCCTAAATGTAAAGGAAGAGGCACGCCGATGACCACGAGAACCCTAAATGTAAAGGAAGAGGCACGCCGATGACCACGAGAACTTAACGCACGAACCTTGATGCCATGATCCTTTAGGGTTGAGTCATTGTACAAAACAACTTGCTCATCATCATGTTTCACTTTTTTCGCACGTTACAGTAGACCTTTGAAGTAGGGAGCGCCTAACCCTACTTGTGCAGCAGGATGGTGATTAGAATAACACCTACTTGCCATGTCCGGCCGCCAAAGATTGGCTCAAGCGGGACGCGCTCAACCCGCCGAGGCTACACCCAGGGTAGGGACAGTCCTGGGCTGCTTGGGCGACAAAACTGACGTGCGAGAAGGCTGGTGTGCGGAGACGCCGCACTGCTCCACGCAAGCAACCCCAAACTTCTTTGAGCAGCTGCAAGGTTGAAGTACCACGAGAAGTACGACAAGAAGGACAAGAACAGGATGTTGAGATGCAACCTGTGGACGAGGATGATGCAGCCTCTGCATGCAACACCATCAAAGTGTGTGGCACGGACTTTTGCTTCAAGCACGTGAAAGGTGTGCTCATGCAGGAGGTTCGCGCTTGTTTCAAGAAGCATGAAGCACGCGTGGAAAGTGTCCAAGGAGGAGTATCTGGTTTTGAAAAGCTGAAAGAAGAGCACGAACAACTACAGGTCTCGGGTTCCGTCCCCAAGTGGTGCCAAGCGAAGCAGGTCATGCCTGCCAAACACAAGATGCTGCAAGAGCCGGCGCCCACCTTGTCTGTGACCTCGGCGGATGGTACCAAGCGCAATTTGCGGGCAGAGCTCATTCGAGAGTGCCCGTGGTTGCAGCACGTGTTGGACAACTGACGGACTCCAGAAGATGCCCCAGCCAAGGACTTGTTTCAAGCAGCCACTTCAGAATGGGAACGTTTGCAATTCCTTGGCAGGTTTCACTTGGCAGCGAAGATGCAAGAATCTTCACGTGAAGCCTTCAAGCCCGACTCCCTCAAAGCAGACCTGGATGATCACCTCAGCAGGCTTCTCACTGCGGTCAGCCAACTCACAGGAGAGACCGTGGAGGCGTTACGGCCGAAATACAAAGCCGAGCAGGACGAGCTACACAGGTTTGCAGACACAGTGCAGAAAATCCTCGCCACGAAAGCCGCCGCGGAGAAGATGAGGAAGACATTGCCCCCCCCCTATCTCTTGTTTTTTTTTGGGGGGGGGTCCCCAAATAGGATTTCCTAAAAAGTATGTGTTTTTTAGGACGTGGGGGGGGGGGGAAAGAAATAGGAAAAAACACTAGCCCGTGTTCCTAGGATTTCCTATTCTACCTCGTTCTCCACATTTTGATTCCACCTTCTCTTTGAAGCAATATGAAGCGATCTTGCTGCTGATAGAACATGCGGCGCTTCGCCAGGGGCTGGCGTTTCTGTTGTCAGGTGTATGCTTAGCTGAAGTCATGTCGTGCTTCAGCACTACAGCCCATGACATGACTCACGGCTTCTGGGTGTACTGGCGGGCACTCCCAGGACCTACCCCCCCAGCCTCTTCGTGCGCGGGGAGGACGCCCGGGGACCCCGACATGGGCGCCGGGTTTAGGATGGAAGGGGGGGGGAGAGGCATTGGAAACGCTGTACTGGTGGGCATGACCTACTTTCGGGGCCT